GCGGCGGCGAGGGCCGCGAAGTCGTAGCCCGCGCGGGCGCAGTGGGCCCAGTCGAAGTCCGCGTAGACGTAGGGGAGGTTCGGCTCGCGCGGCGACGCGAGGGCGAGGAGCTCCTCGTTCGTGTAGGCCGCCGGCGCGCCGTCGCGTCCCTCGAGGAGGGAGAAGGCGAAGGGCACGACGTCGGTCCGCGCGTGGCCGTAGCAGCCGGCGGTCGCCGCGTAGTTTTCGTCGGGCCACGACTCGTTGGCAAAGCCCGTGCTGAGCTGCTTGTACTGGTAGAGGCGCTCGATGGTCGGGTGCACGGGCCAGAACGACGGGTCGAGCGGGCTCGCGGCCTCGAGGTGGTCGCCGTCGGTGCCGAAGCCCGCGTCGCAGAGGTGCGTCATGACCTTGACTTTCAGCGCCTCCGAGAGCCAGTCGTAGCGGCTCGAGATGGTCTGGAGGGACCCGGCGATGGCCGTGTCCCAGGCCATCATCTCGCCCCAGAAGGCCTCGACGGCGCCCGTGTTGTTGTGCGCGAGGGCCTGGTTGAGGTTCGTCGGGTAGTCGCACGTCGACGCGCAGTCCGAGTACGGCGCGTCGGGCGAGCAGAACGCGGGGAATGCGAGGCGGTCGAGGCGGTAGAGGTTCTTGAGCGCGAGGAACATGTCCGTGCGCAGCAGGTACATGAGGTCCGACGACGTCGACGCGAAGCCCGGGTACTTGTTCTCGTTCACCTCGTCGCGGAGGAACTCGAGCAACGCCGTCGCCGTGTCGTTGCAGTCCAAGGTGCCGCCGACGTACTGGTGCACGGAGCCGTGGGGCGCGTAGGGCAGCTGCCAGGCGAAGTCGAACCAGGAGTCCGTGCCGTTGAGGAGCGCGAAGTGGGCCGCGCAGGACGGCGTGTCCTCGAATTTGTAGCCGCACAAGCTGTCGGACCGCGTGACCCAGGGCCGGTCGTTGTTGTTCCAGGGCGCGCGCAGGAAGCCGTAGGAATTGTGCACGGGCGCGTCCCAGGCGCCCTGCTCCGCGGCGACGAAGGCCCAGCGGCCCGTCGCCACGGTGTTGACGGCCGGGTCCGCGGTCCCGAACCAGTCGCTCCGCCACATCGCGGAATCGCCGAGCGGCCGCGCGCCGCGGTCCGCGTCGTAGCGGTCCACCGTGTAGTCCCAGTAGGGCAGCGCCACGGCGGCGTCGACGGCCTGGATGCTCTGCTCGAAGGCGAGGGACAGGCCCAGGTGCATCGTCAAAAACCCGAGGCCGTCGTGCATGTGGTCGCACGCCTTGTCGCCCGCGAGGGCCGCGTGCTGCCGCGTCAGGGCGTAGATGTCGACGTAGGCCGGCCCGTAGGCGTCGCTGCAGTTGCGGCAGCTCCAGAGCACCTGCATGGCGTCGAGGAAGCGATTGCGGTCGCCGTCGGTGAGCTGGCGGATCTCCCGCCGCGCGTAGCGGCAGACCAGCAGCGCCGTCGCCGCCGCGACGGCGCGGCCGTCGGCGTCGTAGGCCGTCGCGGAGACGCGGTACTCGCCGAGCGCGGGGAACGTCGCGTTGACGGCGAAGCCCGAGGGCGCGGCGCGGCCGTCGCCGAAGGTCCAGACCGCGGCCGCCGCGGACCGCGGCGCGCCGGCGACGCGCAGCTCCGTCGACGCGTGGGGCTCGACGAGGGCGTCGTAGCGCCCGCTCGCGAGGAACGGGTACTGCGCCGCCGTGTTCGCGCCGTAGGGGCCCGTGACGGCGATGTCCATGGCGTTCGACGCCAGCCGCGGCGCGGGGCGCGTCGCGCGGGCCGTGGCGGCGGCGACGGCGGCGAGCAGCGCGAGACCCGCGACGACGGCCTTCCTCGGTGGTCGTTGCGGTGGCGGTGGCGGCGCGGCATTGTTGTCGAGCAGCGACGCCGCCTCGGCCGCGGCGGGCTGCCCCATGCTTGCTCGTATGCCAATCTTGGGGCGGTTTGTCGTGCCGTGCCGTATCATCACGCATCGCCGCCGGGGGTAGGGGCGGACAGTGAAGCCCGGGCGCTTCGGGGCCGCTTCGGCTGGGTCCGGTTTCCTGGATGGGTCGGGAGCAGTGCACCGAGATGCTGGTTTAGTGCAAGGACCTAATTTGGGTATGTTGCGTTGGGCCTGGCCCCACGCGTCTCTGCCGAGTTTCGTGGCTGCACTAAATCAGGAACCCCCCGCACCGCGAATGCATGGTGCCGACAGCACTGGTGGCGGCCCTCGACAAAGCGCTTCGGGACGTCGCGGGCCGACGCCAGGCGCCTCCCGGCGGCGCGGAGTCACGTCGCCGCGCGTTCGGAACCGTTCCTGCGTGCCCTGCGGCGCTGCTCTGAGCCGCAGAGCCTTCGGCGCTGCTCGTGCGCGCCTGGAGCGCCCGCTCTGGTGAGGCTTCGGTGAGGCACCGGAACTAGATCGCTTCGCTGGGCGCTGCTGGGCGTCGCGCCGACGTGTCGAGTGTTCAGTGCACTCCCAGGTCGACCTACGAGGCGCGGGAACACGCGCTGCGCCTACCGCTCGTGGCGTCTGCGCTGGCACAGGCGCGAGACGGGATTGGCGTTTCTCGCCTGAAACGAGGCGATGGGC